ACAATAAAGTGATTTGGAGAAAATGTATGATGAAATGGGCAAAGGTTAATTAGTAAAAAAATCCAAATATCTGTACGAACACCCTCCACCCCCACCCCTTAATATCAAGAAAAAAGGAATTAGAAAGGGGGAAAGAATGTCTATATTTTTTGAAATGGAAAGGAATATCTTATCAGTTTGTAGTTCAATAATGGAAAATGATATGCATGTAGTTCAGAAAGCAGGAACACTAAAGTAGGGAATTGGAGTTGTAGTTGTGTTTGCAACTCTACCGTGCATCATTAAGTGTAAGGTTACAATCTCGTTGGAGGCTTCCTTTACCTCCACCCCACTTTTCACTGGCATCCCACACCAAAAGTTTCTAAATTGTTCAACATGAAAGCAACAAATTTTTACTTGTAAAAATGTTTTCTAATAAATATAGTAACTAAGGAAACAGTTGTTGGGTAATGTGATATGACCATTTGTCCTTTGAATCTGTTTTGGTGTGTTTAGTTTAACAATTATCAGATATTTCTAGCTACTTCAGTATTTGAGTTTCTTGTGTTTCACTAAGGAATTATTTGCTCATAATGTGTAAAAAGTTAATGCAAAATTCTCACAGAAATTATTTGCTACCATGTGACTCAGATATATGTGTTCTTTCCAGAGGAGGCAAAGGTTGGTGTTAAGACAATGAAAACTTATACAGAACGCATGAAAAAAGAAGATGTCTTCCAATCAATCCTGGTTGTACAACAAAATTTGACTCCCTTTGCTCGTACTTGCATAAGTGAAATATCTACAAAATTTCACTTGGAGGTTTTCCAGGTGATTACTCTACTATTTCTGCTTAAAGTTTCTCCTTACTACTTGAATGGGGGATTGAAATTGTTATGAAATAGCTGAGGAGCTTAGTTCACTCCTAGTGTTTAATCATTTTATTTTTTGTACCTTCGATATTTGGTTTCTTCGATTTTTGACCAACTATTATTTACTTGAGCACCTGACACTACTCAAGAAGTAGGACCACCAAAACCAGAGGTACAATATGTTACTATGATTTGCAACCATTTACGTTTTGATAAGGGGATTATCTAGTATGAAATTTATCAGTTCGTCCTCTTTCTTTTGCTTGTCGGTTGTTTTCAACATTGTAAATACTTCTTGTTTTAATTAAGAGGGAGAGAGAGAGGGAGGGAGCCTTTAAAAATACTTGTTTGTGTTCTAATAAAGATGGTCAATATTGCATCAAAATGACATTGATCATGATTAGAATGATGCTGCCACTTCACGTTGCCCTAGATATGTCTTGTGAACGAGAAGTTTGTTCTCTGGCATTTCTCACAATTAGTGTCGCTCTTATTCTCCCCACTTGTGGGATTACACTGGGTTGTTGTTGTTAGTACCAATTTTTTTCTTTGGGGTGAGGGGGACACTACAGTTATTCGTTTCACTGCGGAAGTTTTTGAAATTCATTAGGCTTCCAATTTGTTGTTATCTTGCATGACTATTGCAATTGGATTGCATGACTAGAGCAATCCAATTGGTCTGCTATACTAAGAGTGGTGGCAGCTCATTGTGAAAAAGTTATCATTGAGACTGAATTGAAATTGCACTAGGTTGAATTTTTTTGAGATTTAGGAATCTGATTATGTTATGTAAGTTGCAAATGGTTGATGCACCCTGGAAAGGATGTTTTCGATGTGTGTCCTAGCTTTTGAAAAATTTATGTCAAAAATATCCTCATCCAAACATCAGATTGATATCCAGAATCATCAAATCAAATTCTATGTTAAACAAGAGTGGTTTGACTACTTCTTAATAGAATTCGTCTAATCACTTTCAAGATATTGCTTAGAACCAATGGATCAAACAAGGGTAACTTTTACAAAGTTTGGAGGGAGGTATTGGTGTCTATACCACCGAGCGTTGAAGCTAAAAGAAGCATATTTCTATAAAAAGATTACATGATCTTAGTCTCCAAATTTCACCAGACCTTGAATCTGATTAGGACAAGACCTTTCCATTTGATGACATTTTCAAACTTCAGAAGGATAGATGTTCAATTTCTCTCTAGAATTTGAATAAAAGTGCAAAAATTAAATGTCAAGTTTAAGAAATCTAATTTCTATGAACAGTACAGGAATGTGCGAGAAATTTGGGACTGACCTTCAACAGTTTTGAAGCCACCTACTGCGTGCAAGTATATCCAATATGCCTAGTAGTCATAATGTTCAGAATGACTTTGCATATATTTTTTCAAAAAAATCTGTTCAGACTGATGTGCCTCTTCATGTCATTCAAGGCTGGTTGGGTTTGACAGAGAGTGATTCTATTGGCATTTTCATTCATATAAAGGGTTATTTGATATTCCTCTTTTTCATTTTTGTGTGGGAGGGGTGACATTTCTGTTATTTGTTTGACTTGGTAATCGGGGAGCTTGCATTCTAATATGCTCATTTAGTTGCTTTATCTGATTGATAACTATCTATTTAGATAGTAAAGATTGGTGCTTAAAATCATCGTGATGTGTGTTTAATGTTTCAGGAAGCAGAGTTGTTGGTAAACATAAAAAATCATGTTCTAGTTCCTGAGCACCAGCCACTTACTCCTGAAGAAAAGAAAACCTTGTTGGAACGATACACTGTGAAAGAAACACAGGTTAGCATTGATAACATTATTTGCACTGCTAAACTTTTGACCTCATATAATACAATAAAGACCAGGAGAAACGCGATGCCTGCAGATTTTTTAAGGCATATTCTTTAGCGCTAGTGGTGGTAGTGAAAGAATTAACGCAACGGCATTTGGAGATATAGAAAAGAAGAGCAAAACAGCATGCTTCATTATAGTGTTGAAGCTGAAAGTATCTTTTTCTCCCTTAGTAGTCTAGAAAAATTTAGCCAATTTTCTTCTTTGCGTCTTCTTTTGTGTGAAAGATCATTTGAAGCCTTGTATCGAATAGATACAACATTTCTACAACTGAGCTTCTATTATGAATTGGAGTTTGGCTGAGGGTAAATTTTATAAGGAACTAGGGTCCAGCTGCGCGGTTTTGCCAAACATATGTACGGCTTGAATAGTTTCTGTGTTGAGTTAGGTTCAGTTGACGGGGGCTTTGATGGACCTAATGTTGTTAATTGAGTAGCTTTGATGAAAAGACTAACTGCATGGATTGATTATCACCGTCAGGATGGCCTTGTTATCTTCTGCTTCTTGCTTTTGGCTGATTGTTTTATTCCTATTATCTTGATTAACCCTGCCACTGTGATTTATGCTATTAAGACAGGTGTGGTTGATTATTATTGTCAGTATTTTTGATGTAATTAAGTGCCTAATAATTTCTTCTGTTAAAACAGCTTCCTCGAATTCAGATCACTGATCCTATTGCTAGATATTATGGGCTGAAACGTGGCCAAGTCGTGAAGATTATCAGACCAAGTGAGACTGCAGGCCGTTACATTACTTACCGATATGTGGTTTGAATTAGTTTTGATGTTTTCACCAGTTGAAATGTAAAGCAGTGACCAGAAAAGTCAAGTGATGTAGTTGTTTCTTTTTCTTTTGGAGTTTTATTTTTGGTCTTTTATTCCTATCCATTTTCTTTCTGTCTATTGCTATTTTTCTTTTCATATGAAAACTACACTATTAATCAATTATCATACTCATCATCTGTTAGTTGTTGCTTCTGCTATACCTAGGAAGCTAGCTAATAAAATAGACAGCAAACGAACACATTCTATTGTCTCCTAAAGCAAGGCTGGTTCTGCTGCTGGGGTTAGGCTAGTAACTCCATGTAAGATCAAATGTATCCTTGTAATAATGAATTCTCGTTTCTTGTCAATACGAGAGCATATTTGAAAATAAGAATGTATTTGTAGATGCAGTCTTCACTCTTGTCAATTTACAAGATGATTTTGATGTCACTGCAACATCAGTAATGTTACACACTATGTAAGCCATCTTTCTATCATCGAAAGTGAGAATGATGAGCAAATAAAGAGTTAATTTCAGCTTGTAGCATCAAAGGCATCCTTAGAACCAAGACCATCAACCAGCCAAAATGAAGAGGTTTTGTTCCCTACTAAATTCTACTCCCGACTTCTATATCTTTCCTCTTAATTTTTTTAACCATCTAATAAAAGGAATCCATTAACCTTACTAAGATCTAGATTCGTGTCATGTAAGATTTATTAAGGAGAAGCGGTCTCTACTGTGAATTTCTCCACTTTTATGACTCCTGAAACTTCTACTTACGATGGAGGTCCAGTCTCATGACTCCTAAAACAGTAAAACTTCTAGTTAAGGTGGATGGATCCCAGAACCTTTTTGAATTGTGACTGCCTGTTTTTGTATAAAAGCTGTTTTGATTCCAGCAAAGTGAACCATTTGCCTAGAGTACATCCCTACTGATAATCGAAAAGGTTCACTGCAAGTTCAATCTATAGTGACAAACAGAACGTTTCCGTCACGTCTATCTCACCACATCCCTTCGCAATCCCTCCCAGTCTATAAGTCTAGCAAGAGTAGATGAAGTTTAAAATAATTGAGAAATAATGTCATAATTTCTTCTAGGATAATGCTGAGGGAGGGACAAAACAACATTGGTACTCATGGACCTCATTATGTTGGGAGAAAAATGAAGGTGGTGCAGGCTTAAGGTTTATCCATGAGATCAATAAAGCCTTTGATGCAAAAGCC